ATTGGACTTATTTTATAAAAAATATTTGCAATAATCCAAAACCAGTTTTCAAAGACGAAATAATGCAATTCAGCTCTTTGAAGATTGATTAAATTGTAAACATTTGAAAACGTAAGTAAACTCACGCACCCTTGCCTCGTGTTGCTGATGGGGTGGTAGGTGGGTTGAGATTAATCTAATCCGTCAATAGCTCGGCTTAGGCAGACCCGCGGTAACAAGGGACGCTACCGGTCAGGTAGAATCAAGGGGGAGAACCGAGTCGAGTAGTTTGCCCGCCATCTGCAGTGACCCGTGACCCCTTGACCAGAGCTCACTTGTCACCGGTAAGCTTGTTGGCACAGGCCGGACACTGGCCATTACGTGAGGGAGAAAAATTAAGCCGATTTGCCGAGAACGGTTTCTTATTTCTTTTCCGATGGAACGGCCGTGTTGGTTTTTCTGATGGACCGGAAATTGATCTGAAATCAATGTTACAATGCTGTTCGTCGCCCGAAACTTCCAGAGCCTGGTAGCTGGTGCTTGAATCGATACGAAATTCGGGGAAAGTGTACAAGGGCTTTTAGTGAGATAACTGCGGCGAGGCTTGCCGGTGATTGCTGACTAACTAAACGACACGGTGATTTGGTTTTCTCCCCTGACATGAGTTTTCCATTATGAATTTCAATAGAGTGAACTACTAACAAAAAAATTGTATTTGTAGAGGTTTGGTTGGGAGTTGAGTTGTGTGTTATCTGTTTGAACTAGTGGTCGGGACGTTAAACTATTTGTACTCTAGAACCGTCGTCCATCATACAGATTAAACTCGCACTTGCAATTTAACTTTCTGGGGTTTTATGGTGAGCGATTTCAGAAGCTTACATTAAAGTCTAATTATTTTGAAATTATTATTTCAGTGTTAAATCCTGACATTGTAATTTGTTACGTCACTTCCGTACAATTTTGATGTGTTAATCTTATTAATCAATTAGGTAACTAGCTCATATCTAAGACAATATTTGTTTTCTGTATTTGGCTTATATCGTTACTAGATAAAATTTCCATTGCTAGTTTGCCTATTGTATATTACCAAGGCGTGTTGCAATTAATGGGTGTTTGATAGTTATTATGAGGCTGGATAGGAGGTCGGAATGGTAGGGTCGGTTAAGCTCATGGAAAGAAAACTCGCGAGTTCGAACCGTCGGGCAGATGAGGCTCGATAGCTGGGGACAGCAACACATCAAGGAGAGACAACACCAAAATCAAACAACTGCTGCCTTGTAGCTTGTTCTTGGTTGGACAAAGGCTGTAGAAGTAACTGCATAAAGAAAAGCAGGCTGAAATCGGAGTCAACGACCTATATGACGCTTAACAAGTTGACTCGTAATACTTATTGGAATTGGAGGGGATTTCTTCCAACACTAGAAATAAGAACGAAGGAGAGAAAGAAAGAATAAGCTGGATATTTTAAGGATCATCATTACTTCTAGGACCCTTTTTGGCCTAATGTTTTGGGGGTCACCCTTTGTCTAGATATTTTGGGGGTCACCTTGTGTCTAGATATTTTGTTGGTAATCTTTTGGCTGTTAATATGTGGGTCACCTTTAAGTACTGAGACAAGAATCTTAACTAAAACTGCGCTCAGACACAAAACTTGAGAAATAGTCTACGCCTTATAGTCCTAAACATGTTCCTACTTGGCTAGGAGTCAAGCCTGAAAATAGACCATATTCAAAGTTATCAAACAGAAATATATCAAAACATCTATATTACTGAACAGGCTATTACAACAAGCTGTCTTTAGTAGTCCATTCATGCAACGGATAGCTACAAGACTACTGGAAGATCGAAACTCTTCATAAAAAAATGATTAAATTCCAACACTGAGTATGTTTGAAATTTGTGATTAGATTGTCGGGTTCGTGAAAAAAATCCCACGTTCAAAATTTAAGCTTATTTTTATTGGAAGGAACCAGTTTTTGTTTAGAATTTCATTGCGGAACCAGGAAATTAAATTACGTTTTTGTACGTGCTAATAAAAATTGCTAATCTTAATGAAATCTTTTTTTTTCCAATCAAGCCCGTACTGGTTTCGCTGTCCAAACTGTCCAATAAAATTCTTACTGAACTGTACAAACTGGTCAATAAAATTCTTACTGAACTGTACAAACTGTCCAATAAAATTCTTACTGAACTGTACAAACTGGTCGATAAAATTCTTACTGAACTGTACAAACTGGTCAATAAAATTCTTACTGAACTGTACAAACTGTCCAATAAAATTCTTACTGAACTGTACAAACTGTCCAATAAAATTCTTACTGAACTGTACAAACTGGTCAATAAAATTCTTAATGAACTGTACAAACTGTCCAATAAAATTCTTACTGAACTGTACAAACTGGTCAATAAAATTCTTACTGAACTGTACAAACTGGTCAATAAAATTCTTACTGAACTGTACAAACTGTCCAATAAAATTCTTACTGAACTGTACAAACTGGTCAATAAAATTCTTACTGAACTGTACAAACTGGTCAATAAAATTCTTACTTAACTGTACAAACTGGTCAATAAAATTCTTACTGAACTGTACAAACTGGTCAATAAAATTCTTACTGAACTTTACAAACTGTCCAATAAAATTCTTACTGAACTGTACAAACTGTCCAATAAAATCCTTACTGAACTGTAAAAAATGTTCAATAAAATTCTTACTGAACTGTACAAACTGGCCTGACTTTTTTGTTCTTGTAATAAATATTCAATTTGCTGAATACCTTATCACGCTAAAAATAACAGCAGTAAGTTAAAATGTCTGATCTTTAAATACACCTCTCAAGACAGTGTGTAAGACGCCTCAGCACTTGTAGTTCTGTAGGTCAGTTGTTGAGAGTTGCTGTCTTGTATTCTAAGTCTGTATGCTTCAGGTCAAATGTTTCGTTGTTTTAAACGTTAAAAACGTAATTCAAAACAGGTGGATAATATGATTCAAGTTTAAATCAAATATATTGACAATATTTTCTAGTCCTTACTGATAACCTATTCCTTATATTTACTTGCGAATAATCTATATATATAATTCTCCTCTTCGAGCCGTTAGAAAACAAGCTGCAAACGCTCTCCCTACCTCCCCACCCCTACATGGTTTTAGTGAGCTGTGTTCACTCTAAATGTTTACAAGCAGAGCCAACGATTTTAAACGTAGGGGGGGGGGGGGGGGAGGAAAGGGGGGGGGGGGGGGGTTATGGTCCTTAACGAGCTACTTATAGTGTTTTAAAGAAATATTTTCAGTGTCAGCGTTGGTACTGTCGAATTCACAAATTATGAATTATTGAAAATTAGAAACAACTAAATAGCGGCGTATGTTATGCCGCGGGCCGGCTCGTTACATTTTAACAGTCAAATGCTGATAATCTTATGCTGTTAATCGCATTCGGATAATCCTCATCATCCACAGATATGTTATACGTCACCGAAATAATATTTTAATCTACTTATCAACCAATCAAAACAACGAACATTACGATACGAAAAATTTAAAACATAAGCAACTTTTCCAATTAAATAATAACCCATTTATTTCAGCCACGTTTTTGATTTAACTTCACTCTTAGCATTTATCATTTAATTAAAGTGGAGTAAGCCCTTACAAAACACATGTTTAGAAATCGGAAATTCCCGATCTCTAAAAAACAAATATTCTTTAATCGCGTGGAATCGAGCGCTAGGTCAAGTGTGATTCGGTTAGCGACCTTGGCAACTCAAGAAGCTGTTGATATCTCTTATCTGGAATTATCTGCGTTTTCATGTTGTTTTTGGGGCGGCTTTACACAGATTATCCGCCAGATATTTCAGAGAGTATTAGTGTTTCAGATTATAGCGTAATATACTTAATCCGTGCGTTGGAATATTTTCAAAAGTGTCTAAGGATTTGTTGTAAAGTTTCTGAATATCGGCTCAAAGCTTGGCTTTAATCCCGTGGGATATTGTGTTGAAGTGTTTGTTTTGATAAGGGGATTAAACTCTAATTACCCCAAGAGTGCCTACCTTAATGTCTAAATTTAGGGCGCTAAATTCTAATCTATACTGCCCGATTTATCTTCAATTCGTAAAGGTTAAATATACGTTTAAATTCAGAGTGTAGTCGTGAATTAGTTGAGTGATGTTCAAGTGCTCAGTGAGTGTACAGTAATTGTCCCTTTAATTTGATTGTGTGAAGGAGAAGAGAATATAAAGCAGTATCAAATGATGTTGTCTTAATGACTTAACAACCTATTCAGCTCTAAAAGTAGCACCAGAGGCGTAGCGAGGGGGGGGGGGGCGGGGGTGCGAACCGCACCGGGTGACACCATTTGGGGGGGGAGGGGTGACACCAAGGCAAAAAAATAGCAAAATATATAGAGAAAAACTTGAGGGGGGTGCAAATCGAAAGTTTGAGGGGGGGGGGGGGTGCAAATCGAAAATTTGAAAGTTTGGTCCCGGGAAGGGTCGCTACGCCTTTGGGGGGTGACACCATTAAGTGCCGCTCCGGGTGACACCCGACCTCGCCACGCCACTGAGTAGCACTCAGCTCTTTAGGGTCGACCAGGGACTTTTTTTTTAGTAGTTAGACTTGGGTACATACTGATATCAGGTACGGTTAAGAGCTGGGTAGACTCAGGTACAATCTACGACGTGGTACCTACTTAATTATCCGGGACTCTCGATTGCGAAATTATATAACCAGTGTATCATACAGTGCAACATTACAAATTTGGTTAAAATAAATGAAACAAACTTTGCATCATTACTAACTTATAGTATTTTTTAGACAAATGGAACTGAGAGAGTAAAATAATCTGACATGTTTTGTAAACAAAGAACGCGCTTTCAAGTATCAACATCTTCCTACCTGAGATCAACTTAAAAACATTCATTTCACGAAAACCGAAACAAAAAATATTTCCATTTTAAACGTTGCGTAGAAAACAACAATCTTTTGCTTACATTTACATTAGAACTGTTCTGCATTTATTCAACAGTATGAGTTCAAGGCCAAAGCTATCAAGAAGAAAAAAGTCATCCTGACCGTGTCAGTTGAAGGGGTCAAGGTTACTCTTCGTAAGAAAAAGGTAAGCTATTTCTAACTACTATACTAAATAGTGTGTACTCTAAATATTTTTTTTTAAAAGATGAACATGTAAACAGAACGTAAATTGTACTTAATCAGCTAGATGTAAAGCTAATAATGGAGATGCCATTCAACGAGTTTTCCAATGTACACAGCTTGTAAATACGGGCACTTAATGTCGGCCGTTAGCTAGAGTTCACGAAAGGCTTGTACTATTACGCTAATCCCCGGGGGGATGTGGAGATGGCAGCTCCCTCTAAAAACCGCGGTGCCAATCTAAATGATAATAGAGCCGCTCACATAGTGTCACGTGCGACAATAGAGGCCTGTCATCTCGGTCAATGGTAGTACTCACACTTATGGTGCTGGCTGTCATGTCGGTCAATGGTAGTACTCACACTTATGGTGCTGGATGTCATGTAGGTCAATGGTAGTACTCACACTTATGGTGCTGGATGTGGTCGGTCAATGGTAGTACTCACACTTATGGTGCTGGCTGTCATGTCGGTCAATGGTAGTACTCACACTTATGGTGCTGGCTGTCATATCGTCGGTCAATGGTAGTACTCACACTTATGGTGCTGGATGTCATGTAGGTCAATGGTAGTACTCACACTTATGGTGCAGTCTGTCATGTCTTCAGTCAATGGTAGTACTCACACTTATGGTGCTGGGTGTCATGTCGGTCAATGGTAGTACTCACACTTATGGTGCTGGATGTGGTCGGTCAATGGTAGTACTCACACTTATGGTGCTGGGTGTCATGTCGGTCAATGGTAGTACTCACACTTATGGTGCTGGGTGTCATGTCGTAGGTCAATGGTAGTACTCACACTTATGGTGCTGGGTGTCATGTCGTAGGTCAATGGTAGTACTCACACTTATGGTGCTGGCTGTCATGTCGGTCAATGGTAGTACTCACACTTATGGTGCTGGCTGTCATATCGTCGGTCAATGGTAGTACTCACACTTATGGTGCTGGGTGTCATGTCGGTCAATGGTAGTACTCATACTTATGGTGCTGGATGTGGTCGGTCAATGGTAGTACTCACACTTATGGTGCTGGCTGTCATGTCGGTCAATGGTAGTACTCACACTTATGGTGCTGGATGTGGTCGGTCAATGGTAGTACTCACACTTATGGTGCTGGCTGTCATGTCGGTCAATGGTAGTACTCACACTTAGGGTGCTAGCTGTCATGTCGTAGGTCAATGGTAGTACTCACACTTATGGTGCTGGCTGTCATGTCGGTCAATGGTAGTACTCACACTTATGGTGCTGGCTGTCATGTCGGTCAATGGTAGTACTCACACTTATGGTGCTTGCTGTCATGTTGGTCAATGGTAGTACTCACACTTATGGTGCTGTTTGTCATGTCTTCAGTCAATCGTAGTACTCACACTTATGGTGCTGGCTGACATCTCCTTGGTTACATTTACTACTCACACGTATAGTGTTTGCATATTTGTTTATAACAGGGGTCGGCAACCTGCGGCTCGCGAGCCGCATGCGGCTCTTTTGATGTCAAGATGCGGCTCTCCAGCTCTTTGCACAAATACTAATAATCTTAATAAAAAAATAAAATACTTGAAATAAAAAATTGTTAGTGGCTCTTTAACACCAGGGATATTTTAAAAATTGTAACTTTTGGCTCTTCCGTTTCAAAAGGTTGCCGACCCCTGGTTTATTATGCTAAAATACATTTCAATATAATGTATTTCCGAGCTACTATCCAATAGGTTTAATATTATAAAGGGAGATACCTCATAACCATTTTTTAAAATGTCGTTAGAATCTGGAATAAATTTAATACTTAAAAAATAAAATAAAAATTGTTAATAATTATTTTAGATAATATACAATTACAAAGTTATAGCCCTCATCTGAACTCTTTATTTATAAAATTATTTATAATTACCATTAAAATTTTATTGCAAAACCTTTACGGATATTAGAATTTTATACAGTTAACAAAAAGCTTTTATTTAAAAACTTTTGTTACTTCTAAAGGAATCGCGGAGCAAAATGATATTGTTTTTAACTAAATGTGGTAAATTTGCTACTAATATATATCAGCTTTAATGTCTGATGTGAGTCTTACTTAGCACCAACATAATATTATGTATATAGTTTTGTTATGTGTTTTGAAAACTGTCTAAACTCCGATACGAGACGTGGGAAGAGATGTGTGTTGATGTGTCAAGTTTAAATTTATTCGCTGTGGCAAAGTGTAAACCGATGCTTCACCCCTCACTGTGGTAAAGTGTATAGAAACTGATGCTTCACTCCTCACTCTGGTAAAGCGTATAGAAACTGATGCTTGAACCCTCTGGTAAAGTGTATAGAAACTGATGCTTGAACCCTCACTCTGGTAAAGTGTATAGAAACTGATGCTTCACTCATCACTGTAGTTAACCCTCTGGTAAAGTGTAAACTGATGCTTCAACCCTCACTGTGGTAAAGTGTATAGAAACTGATTCTTGAACCCTCACTGTGGTAAAGTGTATAGAAACTGATGCTTCACTCCTCACTGTGGTAAAGTGTATAGAAACTGATGTACTCCTCACTGAGGTAAAGTGTATAGAAACTGATGCTTCAACCCTCTGGTAAAGTGTAAACTGATGCTTCAACCCTCTGGTAAAGTGTAAACTGATGCTTCAACCCTCTGGTAAAGTGTATAGAAACTGATACTTCAACCCTCTGGTAAAGTGTATAGAAACTGATGCTTCAACCCTCTGGTATAGTGTAAACTGATGCTTCAACCCTCTGGTAAAGTGTATAGAAACTGATACTTCAACCCTCTGGTAAAGTGTATAGAAACTGATGCTTCAACCCTCTGGTATAGTGTATAGAAACTGATGCTTCACTCCTCACTGAGGTAAAGTGTATAGAACCTGATGCTTCAACCCTCATCCATTGAGCTTACATTTTGTTTGACGGTAAGACCTATCGAAACCTCTCCACAGCGATACCCGCCCCATTTATTTCGGATCCTAGACAATAACCTCAGGTCAATTATCAATCAGCCGTTAATTCATCCTAACTCTGCATTGGTTCTAATTATAAATTCATAATACCTTGATTATATATTGAATTATTGTAATGTTTTGTATTCGCTTCAATCTGTTTCGTCTTTCCTTAATCCATTTGGCAATCTATCAAAAACAATCAGCCATAGAATGGATTGAACACGTAAACACACCTATCCCTGACAGAACAACTCCGTCAGTTAACAAGATGTACTGCACTTTTGTTATGACAATCTGTCAGATCTCTCGTCAGACGTTCTGCTAATCTTTTCTTTTGTCTGTCCTCGTATTGTCTGTCCTTATATTGTCTGTCCTCTATGTGTATGTCCTGGTATTGTCTGTCCTCTATGTGTATGTCCTCCTATTGTCTGTCCCCGTATTGTCTGCCCTCGTATTGTCTGTCCTGGTGTCTGTCCTCGTATTGTCTGTCCTCGTATTGTCTGTCCTGGTGTCTGTCCTCCTATTGTCTGTCCTCGTATTGTCTGCCCTCGTTTTGTCTGTCCTGGTATTGTCTGTCCTCGTATTGTCTGTCCCCGTATTGTCTGCCATCGTATTATCTGTCCTGGTGTCTGTCCTCGTATTGTCTGTCCTCGTATTGTCTGTCCTCGTATTGTCTGTCCTCGTATTGTCTGTCCTCGTATTGTCTGTCCTGGTGTCTGTCCTCGTATTGTATGTCCTCGTATTGTCTGTCCTCGTATTGTATGTCCTCGTATTGTCTGTCCTCGTATTGTCTGTCCTCGTATTGTCTGTCCTGGTGTCTGTCCTCGTATTGTATGTCCTCGTATTGTCTGTCCTCGTATTGTCTGACTTCGTATTGTCTGTCCTGGTGTCTGTCCTCGTATTGTCTGTCCTCGTATTGTCTGTCCTCGTATTGTCTGTCCTCGTATTGTCTGTCCTGGTGTCTGTCCTCGTATTGTCTGTCCTCGTATTGTCTGTCCCCGTATTGTCTGTCCTCGTATTGTCTGTCCTCCTATTGTCTGTCCTCGTATTGTCTGTCCTCGTATTGTCTGTCCCCGTATTGTCTGTCCTCGTATTGTCTGTCCTCGTATTGTCTGTCCTGGTATTGTCTGTCCTCGTATTGTCTGTCCTCGTATTGTCTGTCCTCGTATTGTCTTTCCCCGTATTGTCTGTCCTCGTATTGTCTGTCCTCGTATTGTCTGTCCTGGTGTCTGTCCTCGTATTGTCTGTCCCCGTATTGTCTGTCCTCGTATTGTCTGTCCTCGTATTGTCTGTCCTGGTGTCTGTCCTCGTATTGTCTGTCCTCGTATTGTCTGTCCTCGTATTGTCTGTCCTCGTATTGTCTGTCCTCGTATTGTCTTTCCCCGTATTGTCTGTCCACGTATTGTCTGTCCTCGTATTGTCTGTCCTGGTGTCTGTCCTCGTATTGTCTGACCTCGTATTGTCTGTCCTCGTATTGTCTGTCCCCGTATTGTCTGTCCTCGTATTGTCTGTCCTGGTGTCTGTCCTCGTATTGTCTGACCTCGTATTGTCTGTCCTCGTATTGTCTGTCCTCGTATTGTCTGTCCTCGTATTGTCTGTCCCCGTATCGTCTGTCCCCGTATTGTCTGTCCCCGTATTGTCTGTCCTCGTATTGTCTGTCCTCGTATTGTCTGTCCTGGTGTCTGTCCTCGTATTGTCTGTCCTGGTGTCTGTCCTGGTGTCTGTCCTCGTATTGTCTGTCCTGGTATTGTCTGTCCTCGTATTGTCTGTCCTCGTATTGTCTGTCCTCGTATTGTCTGTCCTGGTGTCTGTCCTCGTATTGTCTGTCCTGGTGTCTGTCCTGGTGTCTGTCCTCGTATTGTCTGTCCTGGTGTCTGTCCTCGTATTGTCTGTCCTCGTATTGTCTGTCCTCGTATTGTCTGTCCCCGTATTGTCTGTCCTCGTATTGTCTGTCCCCGTATTGTCTGTCCTGGTGTCTGTCCTCGTATTGTCTGTCCTGGTGTCTGTCCTCGTATTGTCTGTCCTGGTGTCTGTCCTGGTGTCTGTCCTCGTATTGTCTGTCCTGATGTCTGTCCTCGTATTGTCTGTCCTCGTATTGTCTGTCCTCGTATTGTCTGTCCTCGTATTGTCTGTCCTCGTATTGTCTGTCCCCGTATTGTCTGTCCTCGTATTGTCTGTCCTCGTATTGTCTGTCCTCGTATTGTCTGTCCTGGTGTCTGTCCTCGTATTGTCTGTCCTGGTGTCTGTCCTGGTGTCTGTCCTCGTATTGTCTGTCCTGGTATTGTCTGTCCTCGTATTGTCTGTCCTCGTATTGTCTGTCCTCGTATTGTCTGTCCTGGTGTCTGTCCTCGTATTGTCTGTCCTGGTGTCTGTCCTGGTGTCTGTCCTCGTATTGTCTGTCCTGGTGTCTGTCCTCGTATTGTCTGTCCTCGTATTGTCTGTCCTCGTATTGTCTGTCCTCGTATTGTCTGTCCTCGTATTGTCTGTCCCCGTATTGTCTGTCCTCGTATTGTCTGTCCTCGTATTGTCTGTCCTCGTATTGTCTGTCCTCGTATTGTCTGTCCTCGTATTGTCTGTCCTGGTGTCTGTCCTCGTATTGTCTGTCCCCGTATTGTCTGTCCTCGTATTGTCTGTCCTCGTATTGTCTGTCCTCGTATTGTCTGTCCTCGTATTGTCTGTCCTGGTATTGTCTGTCCTCGTATTGTCTGTCCTCGTATTGTCTGTCCTCGTATTGTCTGTCCTGGTATTGTCTGTCCTCGTATTTTCTGTCCTCGTATTGTCTGTCCTCGTATTGTCTGTCCTGGTGTCTGTCCTCGTATTGTCTGTCCTCGTATTGTCTGTCCTGGTATTGTCTGTCCTGGTATTGTCTGTCCTCGTATTGTCTGTCCCCGTATTGTCTGCCCTCGTATTGTCTGTCCTCGTATTGTCTGTCCTCGTATTGTCTGTCCTGGTATTGTCTGTCCTCGTATTGTCTGTCCTCGTATTGTCTGTCCTCGTATTGTCTGTCCTGGTGTCTGTCCTCGTATTGTCTGTCCTGGTGTCTGTCCTCGTATTGTCTGTCCTGGTGTCTGTCCTGGTGTCTGTCCTCGTATTGTCTGTCCTGGTGTCTGTCCTCGTATTGTCTGTCCTCGTATTGTCTGTCCTCGTATTGTCTGTTTTCGTATTCTGATCAACTTCTGGTACATTCGCTCTAATTCTGTTCTCATTATCGAGGAGGTGGGGGGGGGGTTCTTACTTTAGCTTTATTCTCTACTGAATTTGTCTATACTTTAATTACTCTATAAGCGTTTTGTAATTTATTTTACTTCAATACATTTTAAACGAAGTTTACATAATACAAATAAGCTCTTCATTTGTCTTTATATTGTATACTTCATGTACATATTATGTTTTTAATACTTCATATATTTTCTAAATAATATGTATCGTTTCAACATGTTCCTGACTATTTACTTCATGTATTTGATGTTACTATACACTTTTGATTCGAACACATATTATTTACTACTTTGTAATTGTAAGTGCTAAACTGTGTACTTGCTATATGCCTTATTTTCTACATACTTCCTGTACTACGCCCAATTATCTATGCGACCGACTGTCCTCTTCGTTCTTAATTGTAATATGAAGGGATATACTCCAACACAATCAAGTGTTCAAATGTTTGAACCATATGGCTTGTTGACTTCAACTTTAATCCGCTTTTTTTCCTAAATTTGCATCAAGAACATTTTTGTCCACCCAATAACGATATGTAAGCAGCAGTTATTTAGATTTTTTTTACTTTTCTCTCTACTACCATAACTGTCCAAAGTGCAAAGACGATTCTCTCTTCTTTTTTAAAAGCACTCTCTGATTATTCACAATCTCTGTTGGTTTATTTTTAAACTCGACCTAATTACCACACATCGACATTAATAAAATGCATTTTTCAGACATCAGTAAAACTGTTTTTTTTACTTATTCTTTACACATCACTAAATTTGTCTTCCTCAGAAATCCAACTGGTCACTAGAGGAAAGCCGGCTACTGGTGATGCACCACCCCATTTATAGGTAAGTTGTCAACCCACCTGTATGATAGTACACCATCCCATTTATAGGTAAGTTGTCAACCCACCTGTATGATAGTACACCACCCCATTTATAGGTAAGTTGTCAACCCACCTGTATGATAGTACACCATCCCATATATAGGTAAGTTGTCAACCCACCTGTATGGTAGTACACCATCCCATTTATAGGTAAGTTGTCAACCCACCTGTATGATAGTACACCACCCCATTTATAGGTAAGTTGTCAACCCACCTGTATGATAGTACACCATCCCATATATAGGTAAGTTGTCAACCCACCTGTATGGTAGTACACCACCCCATTTATAGGTAAGTTGTCAACCCACCTGTATGATAGTACACCACCCCATTTATAGGTAAGTTGTCAACCCACCTGTATGATAGTACACCATCCCATATATAAGTAAGTTGTCAACCCACCTGTATGATAGTACACCACCCCATTTATAGGTAAGTTGTCAACCCACCTGTATGATAGTACACCACCCCATTTATAGGTAAGTTGTCAACCCACCTGTATGATAGTACACCATCCCATATATAGGTAAGTTGTCAACCCACCTGTATGATAGTACACCATCCCATTTATAGGTAAGTTGTCAACCCACCTGTATGATAGTACACCACCCCATTTATAGGTAAGTTGTCAACCCACCTGTATGATAGTACACCATCCCATATATAGGTAAGTTGTCAACCCACCTGTATGATAGTACACCACCCCATTTATAGGTAAGTTGTCAACCCACCTGTATGATAGTACACCACCCCATTTATAGGTAAGTTGTCAACCCACCTGTATGATAGTACACCATCCCATAGGTAAGTTGTCAACCCACCTGTGTGATAGTACACCATCCCATAGGTAAGTTGTCAACCCACCTGTATGATAGTACACCATCCCATTTATAGGTAAGATGTTTACCCACCTGTATGATAGTACACCACCCCATTTATAGGTAAGTTGTCAACCCACCTGTATGATAGTACACCATCCCATTTATATGTTAGTTGTCAACCCACAAATAGGATGCATCAGTTTTTTAGACTTCCAGGTTGTAGCTATATTTAGGTAGACCAAAACTAGATATACCTATAGTATACCTCAAATACCGTAAGATACATATTATCTTGAAATCTGCAACGTTTATCAAAAATTCGATATGTCATCGGTATGTTTATTTTCTGTTTAATTGTCTAAAAAGGGTAATATATTTCACCTGGTTGTTTTTGTTTTTTCGTATAACAGACAATTTGAATTTATTTTTAGAATTTTCTGTTTCACCTGAAAGTTTTAATTTATGTTCCAAGAATTTTCTGTTTCACCTGAAATTTTGAATTCGTTTCCAGAATTTTCTATGTTTTACTTGAAATTTTGAATTTCTCTCCAGAATTTTATATGTTTCACCTGAAATGTAAATTTCTTTCCAGAATTTTCTATGTTTCACACGACTCCCAAGACCTAAAGATCTGGAGCTACATAGCACGTGACGGCCCCACTAATGTCTTCAAGTGTAACGTCTTTAAAGCTTACAAGAAGGTCAGTCACAGTTTCACACGTCACAATTTCACACGTCACAATTTCACACGTCACACTTTCACACGTCACAATTTCACATGTGACAATTTCACACGTCACAATTTCACACGTCACAGTTTCACACGTCAGTTTCACGCGTCATAATTTCACACGTCACCATATCACACGTCACAATTTCACACGTCACAATTTCACACTTTACAATTTCACACTTTATAATTTCACACGTCACAATTTTACACGTCAAAATTTCACACGTCACAATTTTTTTTAATTCAATTATTTAATTTATTTTAAGTCAAGTTAGACAGTCCCTAATGCACACTAAAACATAGCTATTTTACCTTGAATCATCAAACACTTTAATACTTATCGGGCATGTTACCCAGTGTCCATGCTAATCTAGAGCACAAATAGAAAGTTGATAACATCACTTTACATCAACAAATAACAAATACATTTTCAGACATTTTAACCCAAAATACTACAAGACATGATTTTTCCTGACAATTTAAATCTAATTTCTGCATCCTGCCACGTCTGTCTTATACCGTAAGACAGACGTTAGACAGACATTACACCATGACATAAGCTGGTCAGACATAGACTTTGCATCGCGTGAGTGTCTGATCTAGTGTGTCAAGCTTGAATGTCACCTGACAAAAAAAATCATAATTTCAAAGCAGAAGTTTTTAATACCTTGACCCAAGATATGATGTTTTTATTTTTTGTTCCCGTTGATGTTGGATATTTCAAAAAACATTTTTGTATGCCGCATCCGACCGCGTCACGCGAAGGACGCTGTCATACTGAGTAAAAATTGTTCTGGCATAAAGCCGCCTGGAATAATATTCTGAATATATGATGACATTTTTTTTTTTAAACTTGATAAGAATAAGCTTTGGAAAGAACCAAAAATGTAAAGCGAGTTTTTGTTTTAGTAAAAGCGTTGGTCGCTATAATGTGTAAGAGACTCTTCAAACTCCTCTTCGAATGACTACTAGCAGAGGCGTAGCGACCCTTCCCGGCGCCCGGGAACAAACTTTCAATTTGACGCGCCCCCCCCCCCCCCCCGCGGAACAAACTTTGAATTTGGCGCCCTCATCCCATATATGTTTTTTATATTTATAATGAAAACTGCAGCTGAAATGAGCTTTTAATTTTTTTTCAAACCTATTTTGGCGCCCCCTAGGGTCGGCGCCCGTGGACATATGTACCCCCCCCCCCCACACACAATCGCTACGCCTCTGACTACTAGCCCGTTTTGATTATCAATAGTAACGCAGTAGTGTACACTTAGTTCTCTATTCGTCAAATAAAAATTGCCTTGTGTTTGAACTAATGTTCTAGCATGTGATATATGACACGTCACCAAACAAACATTCTGGTTTACATTTGATGCTGAATGGAGGCAGCCGAGTTTGATGAGATGGGATACATTATTATTGTTGACTTGGATTAAAAACAAAATATGTTGGGCTTTTTTTTTCGATTTTGCCTGCCATCATAGCGGCCGTAAAATGTATTTATTTTTTAACCTTAAGCCTAAAAAAACTTCAGAAATTTAATAGTCTGGGAATCAATGATGTAAAAGTTGCAAAGGCAGAGAAAATGGAAAAAAAAAGTTGACTTTGAGAATACTTTTTCATTATACACATAAATTCCCATGGTAGATGTCCCCGTATTTTAATAATTTTTATATCAAATAAAAAATTCCAGGTCAATATGCTTTTAAAGCAGGGGTCTCCAAACTTTTCAGTCCGAGGGCCGCATTAACTATCAAATTTCAGTTCGGGGGCCAGTTTCTTTCAGGCTTGTCTTTGATTTTTCTGGGCAAAGTTCCTCAGCCATCACCAACAAAAGTTTTTTCCGTGCACAAAAAGATCTCCGAGGGGCCGGATGAGAGGACATCGCGGGCCGCATCTGGCCCGCGGGCCGTAGTTTGGAGACCCCTGTTTTAAAGTATCACGTCTGCTATTGCTAATATTAATAATATAAAATATTACTTCACTGCGCGTGCGCTATATTTCCTTATAATCTATGCTAGCCTGTCGAACAGCAGAATGTCTTTGTTTGCGCTTCCATTCCCACTTGATCAACCAAATTATTTTTTTCCTTTCTATAAAATTTAGTTTAGCTACCGAAATTACTAAAACATTCAAATATGTCCAATCTTCAATATTCCTACAAAGACCCAACAATCCATCTGTTTTAAACACATTTATTTAATAACATCGCACCCTATTTTTAAAAATATTTCACGAACCATTCAAGACTATTCTCGGTTGGGTCTATTGAGGACACATCTGGAGACCCCCCTTAAAAGATACTGACTCTAATCCGACGTTCGTCCAACATGTTTCCATCTTCGATCTTTTAAAATCCTTTCAGTAATGGAGTTTTTATAGTCTTAACAAAGGACAGATAAAATTGTACTTTTTGTGTACTTTACATGAAATCTAGTGAATAAAATACAGACTTGCTGGAGAAATTAGGATGGAGATGGGGGTTATGATGGAGAGGGAGGTTATGATGGAGAGGGAGGTTATGATGGAGATGGGGTTATAATTAAGATGGGGGTTATGATCTAAAGCTTGGTGGTGTTTGTTGTGGTGTTAAAGTTAGACGTCGATTGAGTTAGAGCTAATGTTAGATGTTGAATGAGTTAAAGTTATAATGAAAACTATAACCACGGACATAATTTTACCGCTAGATAAGGGAGTGTCTGTTATGGCAGTAATACATGTAAAAGGTTAAAGTGCAAGTAAAAAGCCAGGTGTTTGTTGAAGACTTCTCCCCCCCCCCTCCATATACAACCCACGATTCCTTGATCACGTGATAGGTCATCTGACCACACAGGTTGGGTGATAAGATGGACATCTGGATCAGCTTGGGCGGTCAGGTTTATCTGGCAAATCTATTCGTCCAGAACTATCTGGCAAATCTACTGGGTCAAGTTTATCTGGCAAATCTACTGGATCAGAACTATCTGGCAAATTTACTGGGCTAGGTTTATCTGGCAGGTCTACTTGGTCAGAACTATCTGGCAAATATATTTAACAAGGTCTATTTAACAAATCTATTTAACAAGGTCTGTCTTACAAATCTAATTAAGAAGGTCTATCTGGCAAATGTACTCGGTCAACCATTAGTCCTGGATGACGTATTCTCTCTACTAATACACACATTCACAGCCTGCTGGCTAGATTACGTGGACATATTTTGACTACATAAAAATAAGTAGAACTGCAATTAACACAAACACAGATTGCTTAGTTTCACTACAAAATAAAGTTTGGAGTAGAAGTTAATGTATCGTTATAGAAAAACTACTATACACGAATTTTAAAGCTCTATCTCTATGCCACACTACCAGTATCTACCCGTTAGTTTATAGAATTATTATCGATTTCTGAGTTTCTCGTTGAGTTTTCAATAACTTACTTACCTTGTGTATCCCAACACTTGCTTTCAGCAATGTTTGGAATGATTTTGTATCGTCCCTCAGTTACATTTTCTCTGTCATTGTGCCTAAAGAGTTAATGAGGATAAAAACGTTATGGAAATACTCATCTACAATATATGTATATATATATATATATATATATATATATATATATATATATATATATATATATATATATATATATATATATATATATATATATATATATATATATATATGTATATATATATATAACATAGAGGGAGAGAGAGAAAAAGAGATCGCCATTCGTGTTAAGACTGTATATATATTAGATTCTTGGCACCCCTGAACTATTCCCCCCCCACCCCCCCCCCCCCCCCACCCCCCCCCCCCCCCCCGCCACACAAACATGACGTGTAAGAGAACTACAACCACAGTGTCAGGTAACTTCATGTTTCACGTACACCTCAGGTAAGGAAGGAGAATAGAAATTTGTTTTGTACTTTACTCCTGCCCCCCCCCCCTCACCCCAGCCCTACTCTCACCCCGGCCCTCACACCAAACTGTAAACATGACCTTCAAATGTTCCATTTCTGCAGGGCTGGGGGCAAGTGCGGTCACCGTGTCAAAGGTCAAGTTTAACATTTTCATTCCAACCCTGGTTGTAACAGTTCTTGTAGTATTCTAGATATCTTTTTCCTGGAGCTTTCCATACTAGCAAGTGCTACTTTACTTGTAGCATTCTAGATATCTTTCTCCTGGAGCTATCCATACTAGCAAGTGCTACTTTACCTGTAGTATTCTAGATATCTTTCTCCTGGAGCTATCCATACTAGCAAGTGCTACTTTACTTGTAGTATTCTTGGTATCTTTCTCCTGGAGCTATCTATACTAGCAAGTGCTACTTTACCTGTAGTATTCTAGATATATTTCTCCTGGAGCTATCCATACTAGCAAGTGCTACTTTACTTGAGTATTCTTGGTATCTTTCTCCTGGAGCTGTCTATACTAGCAAGTGCTACTTTACTTGTAGTATTCTTGGTATCTTTCTCCTGGAGCTATCTATACTAGCTAGTGCTACTTTACTTGTAGCATTCTAGATATCTTTCTCCTGGAACTATCCATACTAGCAAGTGCTATCTAGCTCAATAAATCCAATTAGAGTCAATGCTGGCCAACATTTATTTTTGAATAATATGTTTACAGTGTTATCGGTCACTAAAACTACCATCATTTATTGCAAGTTTGCAAAATATAAATCCTTCATCTTTATATTGTTTGATTACGTTACTAAAGTACTGTTGCACACAAGTTTACGAACTCACAATACACACACACACACACACACACACACACACATATATATATATATATATATATATATATATATATATATATATATATATATATATATATAATATAATTTATATACGAGCACAGAAATAAATGCATACATCTAAAGTACTGAGACAGCTAGAGTGAAAGAGATAGTACCGAGCTATTATCAGTCACACAAGCATACAATATATATTTCTCCACCGCGGAGTGTTTCCTCTGTATTTATTTCTTGTAC